TGGATGTGAGGGGAGGGGTATGTATGTACTCACACGGATGTGAGGGGCGGGATGTGTGGTTACACACACGGATGTGATGGGCGGAGTGTGTGTGTAGCCGGGCAGCAGGCTGGGAGCGGGGAGGCGTGTCCCATGGACCCTGTCTCGGTCCCCAGGAGCCGACCCCGGAGCTGCGTGGCCTCGCACTGTGCTTGGGGCCCGTGAGCCGCCGGCCTGGCCCTGTGGCCGCTGAGAGCCGCTCTCTGTTGTCCTGTGTCCCAGCTGCCTGTGGCCGTCCTGCCAGGCCTCTAATAAAACGAGTCTTGTTACTGCAGTGCCGTATGGGCGCCTCCTTGGTGGGGTTCAGCCGCTTCCCTCCACTGGCGTCTTGCGTTCCCGAGGGGCCCGACCCAGGTGGGGACAACGGCCAGCACGGGCCAGGGTTACCACCTCTGAGCGGGCCGGATCTCGAGGGGATGGCACCCCAGGGTCCAGCCCCCTGCTCCATAGGGGCCTGCTCAAGTACCCCAACCACGGCCAGTCCTGCCCGAGGGTCCCCCTCCCCGCTCCAAAGGGGATCCAGCCCCTTCTCCATCCCTGGGGGCTGTGGTGGCCATGGTGACGCTGCCCCCCCCCCCGCGCTATCTGGGAACAGGGCCGCCTTATCTCGCATTCCAGGGCCCGGTGCCATCGGACACCTTGCTAATTATGGGCATCTCCAGGCTCCAGCCGCCTTCCCGTCCCTCCCCCAGCTCCCTCTCAAAGCAGTGACCCGTCTCCTCCGCGGGCCGGCACCAGCGCCATGGCGTCCGTCAGCTCGTCCTCTACCTATCGCTCGGAGCGGATCAGCACCTACAGCCAGAACGCACCCCCGGCTGAGCCCTGCTTCGAGCCCCGGGGGTGCTTTGGAGAGGAGGACAGGAGCTCCCTGCGCCACGGCCCCTTCGCCGCACGGGCCCATGACTCTTATGGATACACAGGTGGGGGCCATGGGTGTGGGGGGACCCAACCCCGCACATGCCTCGGGGTGCTACAGCCACTGCTTGCACTGGGGCAGGACAGTGGGGAGGGGCTCATGGGCCTAAGAAGGTGAGAGTCTACTACTGCTACCAGCTCCCAGAGTCCCTCCTGTTGGGCGAGTGGGCGAGGCCTGTGCTCAGCACTATGGGCCTGGTTCAAAGCCCCTGACCACCCAGGCAGGTCCTCGCCCAGCCCAGGGAGGGGAGGGAGATGCAGACCCCACAGGGTCTGGGGTGGCCAGTCAGCCTCTGCAGTGTTCGGAGCCCCAGGGCTATGCTTACCCTTCGGGGGGGGCTGCTTCTCCGGGGGGCAGTGGCCACAGGGCTGGGGAAAGCGCCTTGACAGCCATCCCTGGTCCAGGGTGGGAGCACTGCCTGGTCAGGGCGTGGTTCAGCGCCTGCCAGCATCGGGGTGAGGGTTCTTCAGCCCATGCCCCCCTTCCAGTCCCCCGGCTTGCTAACGAACTCCCCCACCCACTCACTCCTCCCATCCCCCACTAGCCAGACCCCATGGCTTGCTAGCCAGACTGCCCCTCTCCTGAGTCAACCTCACTCCTAGCCAGAACCACTTCCAATCCCCCGTTGTGCTAGCCAGACTCCCGCCCCCGCCATCGTCCCCCCCCCCCCCCGCCAGACCCCCCCCCCCACCCCCCAGCCCCCACCCCCCCACCCCCCCCTCCCACCCCCCCCCCCCGGCTTGCTAGTCAAATCCCCCCTTGAGTCAACCCCGACTGCCAGCAGACCCCTACCAAAAACCAGAGAGTCCCATGAGCAGGCAGCCCCTCCCACGTGCCTGCTCTACAAATGGCCTGTTTGTGCTGAGCAAAGTCAAGGGACCGGCCCCCCCTGCGACGGCACCTCAGGGTGTCAGACTCAGCCTGACTCACAGCCAGCACCGGCCACGCTCGCTGCACCAGCACCGCACCATGGGAGAGGGGCGGCCTGGCTTCTCCCTGCCTGGCAGGTGCCACCCCCTACTGCACCCTGACACCCCACTGCGACCCCCCCATAGCTCCTACTGCCCACCCCACTACGCCATCACCCCCCCACTGCTCCCCAGGCCGTCTCCGCACCTGCCACATGGTGCAGCCCCCGTGCCCGTGGAGCTTGGGGGGACCGCATCCCTCCCCCTCACTGCCCCGCTCCGTGCAGGATCCCCGGGGTCCATGCGCCCCTGCAGCCTGGGCAGCAACGTGCGAGCCGGGGGCGACACGTACCAGGTGACGGCCGACGTGAGCCAGTTCGAGCCGCAGGACGTGGTGGTGACCACGTACAACTACCACATCATCATCCAGGCCGAGAAGGTGAGGAGCGGGGGGCAGGGGGGCGGAACAAGGCACCGCGGGAATGGGGTGGCTGGGACCGGAGTAGCAAGGAGTTGCCCCACCCCCGCCAGCACTCCTGCCCCACTCCCTATGGCGCCCCCTCCTGGGAAAGGCTGGGCTGAACGGGGCTGTGCTCAGCAGGAACCTGTCTTGTGCCCACGCTCATGGGGGTTTGTTTCCCTGGTAGGTGGCAGAGGACGGCACCGTCTCCAACACGTTCACCCACAAGTGCCAGCTCCCAGAGGACATGGACCCCATGTCTGTCAGCTGCGCCCTCACCGATGCAGGCCTGCTGGTCATCAACGCCAAGCGCGGCGCAGCTGCCAAGGCGGGCGAGACGCCCCCACCGCTGTACCGCACCGAGGTCAAGCTGTGACGCCCCTGGGCAGAGCTGTGCCACCCCCCACACACACACACCTGAGGCATGAGCCGGGCTCCTGGGAGCTCACCCTGGCACATGTGCGCTGCTAGTTGGGGCCACATGTGTGTTGAGGGCAGGGGCAGCCTGTCGGGTCCCAGCATGCACTGCGGTAAGGCAGGCTGGCCCAATAAGGGGCAATGCATGCTGGGCCTGCTAGCGCCATGGGTCTGCCCAGCTGTGGGGCTGGGCATGCGAGCTGTTCCTGGAGCGCTAAGGGCTGCCCTGGGCCAGTCACTCACCCCAGCCCCTCGCTGCACGGGGGTCCCCGGGCCTGCCCGCCGCCCTGTGGGGCTCCCAGCACCTGGCTGGTGTCTCACCCCCACTCCTGTTTGGAATAAAGGTTTCTCCCACCCAAGGCTGGGTCTGGGCTGTTCCTCGCGGCCTGCGTCTCTCCCCAGCCCCCCCACGCTGGGCGTTAACTCTCCCCGCTGGCCCCTTGGCACAGCACAGCAGCCTCCTGTGCTAGTGATTCCTGGCTCAGCCCCTTGCCCCGACTCGCCAGGACCCTGCACCCCCCCGCGTGCTCCAGCCGCGCCCTGAACCCGCTGCTGGGTGGTGCTGGCCAGGGGAGTGCATGAGCAGCCTCACCCCAGTGCCAGAGCCAGCAGGGCTCCACAGGCTCCTCGTTTGGCAGTGACGGGACAGGGAGCCCCACTCCACAGCAGCGTGGGAAGGCCAGGCCTGTTCCCAACCTTCCTGGGAGAGTGGGGAGGGCTGCACGTTCCCACCCGCCAAGCCCACCCGCCCCAGCTGTTTCCCTGCAGCAGCAGCTCCCTCCAGTGGCTGGTTGGGGTAGGAGCGGCACGCAGGCCCCCAGGCCCGTTTGCTGTCCCAAGGCTGCTGGTGCCCGGCTCTGGCTGGGTCCCTATGCCCCAGCTGATGCCAGGCTGTAGCAATGTGCCCCATCCCCAGCCCAGGCGCGTCAGAGGCGCCTGGCACGCAGCAGCCGCTCTTTGGGTTACTTTATTGCTCTATTTATAAAGTCCTTTTATTAAATTAATATAAAAATCTCTGTATTTACATTCTGGCCAGTGTAGGGCCCCGAGAGCCTCGGTCGCTGCCCCCCCGGCTCCGAGCCCCTGGGACCCTGCCCAGGGCCAGGCAAGAGCAGTCATGCTGGAGGGGGCGGGGCTCACTGAGACTTTGGGGAGGGGACGTGCTTGAGTTGTTCACCCTGGGCTCCAAGCCAAACTCGCCTCTGGTCTAGGCTAAGCCCAGCTGCCCTCCCTCAATGCTCCCTTGCCCCGTCCCACAAACCACCCCCAGAGGTAGCATGATTGAACAGCGGGGGGGGGGGGGGGGGGGGCGGCTCAGGCCGGGGGGGCACCGGCAGGTCGAGCCAAGGGGGCGGGCTGTGGGGCGGGATTCAGGGGCACTGGCAGAGCTGGGGCTGGAGGGCCCGGGGCTGAGGCATTTGCAGAGTTGGGGGGCGGGGGGATTCGAACTCAGTGCTGGTTGGGGAACCAGTCGCCCCTGGCAGCTGGGGGTGGTGCTGCAGGAAGCTGGATATTTGCATTCTGCCCCCAGGAGCCCTGCGCCAGCGGCCCAGAGAACCTCGCAGGCGGAGGCCAGGGGCTGGACTTGATGCACCCTTCCTCTTCACCACACGGGCTGCCGGGGCAGCCCCTGGGGCAGGGCTGATGGCAGTGGCTTGCTGGGGCTCTGGCTCCTCCCCTGGTGGCAGGCGGCGAGTCCGGCCGTGCAGGGTGTCAGGGCTGCAGGCACAAAGGGGCAGTGGCACCGGCGCCACCGCCGCTGGGGCTGGCAGTGTCTGTCATGTCCGTCAGCAGCTGGGGCGGGCTCTACCCGCCGGCCCCACCCCTCACTGGCACTTGTCGTCCGTCTCAGAGGGGCTGGACTCGCGGGGGATGGAGAGGCGCTGGCGCCGGTCCCACAGCTGGTGGATGTCCGTGGTCTCCGTCTCGCTGCTGCTGGCGGTGCTGTCCCGGAAGCTGGCCAGGGGCGGGCGGACCTTCACGCCCTTGGCAGTGACCGACCCCTCGATGGCCTTGCGCAGCTGGGGGGCAGACAGGGCTCAGCAGTGCAGCATGAGGCACCCTCCCTTCCCATGTCCCCAGCTGCATGAGGGCACCTGGGGCCCTTCTTCCCCACCCCCAGCTGCAGGAAGCACAGGGAGGGGGGTGCAGGAGGGTCTCCAGAGACACCCTCCCCGGAGCTTGGTGGCACCATAGGCTCTAGGGCTGAGGGTGGGGGGAAGGCACCATTGCTCACCGCCCAGGAGGGCTCTGGGGTTCTGTTTCTGCCTCCATGTGACGAGTCCCATAGGGCTGATCCCCCCCCCGGGGTGTTTGGGAGCTGTGGGGCACTCACCTCTTTGAGGGACACCATGCCAACGAGGCGCCCAATGCTGGTCACATATGCGTGGTCCACGCCCAGGAGTGAGAAGATGGTGTGAGTCTGCAACAGAGACAGGTGCTCAGGGTCTGCGGGGCGGGGAGCTGGCCAGGATCCCACTAGGGCTTGGGGCCCACAGGGCTGGGAGAGCCAGAGGGGACCCCCCACTGGGGGTCACGGCCCACGGGGCAGCCCCAGGGATGGGGAGTCTGCTGAGACGCAGCCCCACGCACACTGCAGAGGATGTGGAGGGTGGATCTGCAGGGTTCAGAGCTGAACCAGCCACACCAACATGTGGAAGAGGCAATATTGATGAGCGGGGGGATCCAGGCCCCAGGGCAGAGGACACCTGAAGGGCAGCTGGGCTCGGGCTGTCAATGCACCCCTGCCAGCTGCAGTGCGCCCCAAGGAGCATGGCCCCCCTGCCCGCCCCACCTTGTGCAGGGAGGTGCGCTCCACCAGCTGGAAGGGAGCAGGGTCGATCTTGCTGTTGTTGAAGTTCACGGGCTGGTCCAGCTGCTGCTCTTCCCACTCCACGAGCTGAAAGGCAGAGGGGCCGTGAGCGCCAGAGACGGGAGCGGTCCCTGCCTGGCGTGGGCCTCAACAGAGGGGTAGGGCAGCCCAAAGCCCACTGCTCTCCCAACACTCCACCTGCAGCCCCATGCCCTGCCCAAGGGGGGGGGGGCACTGCCTGGCTTGGGGGCAGGGACCAGGACACACAGAGGTGATCCAGACCCAGGGCGGGGGACAGGCTGGATTTGGGGGACAGGGAATGGGACATGGGGCCTTTCCCCCTAGAGGATGCTGGCTCCGATCTGGCCCCAGGGTGGGGGACTGGCTGGCTCAGGGGATGGGGAAGAGGATGCCCCCTCTAGGGGGTGACGGCTGGGATCTGGCCCCACGTGGGCAGACCCCGTTGGTTACCAGGGGTTGGGTGCCCAGCTCGACAGTCCCCCTGGTAGGTGCCTGACTGGCACTCCCTGGCCCCACTCAACTCAAGGCCAAGGCTGCAGGGCCCATGGGCAGAGCTCCCTCACCCTCAGCTGCACGGGGAAGCGGGCTTCCCTGGCGGGAGGGGGCATCCCGGCCGTGCTGCCCATGGCCCAGCAGGGTGGCGCATGCGGCTTCCCCCCACCTGCGGGGGCTATTCTAGCCCAGCCCTGCCATCAGCTGCTGCTGTAGCGGCAGCTGCATCCTCTGCCTGGCAGCAAACGCCTCCCACCGGCTCCGCTCATGCCAGGCCCTGCCCGCCCCCACCCACCCCTGCCTGGCACGTGCACAGGAGCCTCGCAGCAGAGGGCCTGGGTGGGGAGACTCCCCCCACACCTGGGGGGCTCCTCCTCCTATCCCCAGTGTCTGGGGCCTCCCCCTGGGCCCTTCCTGGCCAGCTTTTGCCCATGGAGGTGCTGCTCTGACAACGTTCAATGCGAGGGAATTGGGGAGATCCTTTCCCAGCTGACTGAGCCTCTCCTGCCGGTTCCTCTCCCCTCCCCACCTCCTCTCCTTGTCCCCCCACTGCTGCCTCCCCCCATCCCCTCCCTTTCCCTGCTGGGGCAGAATGGGGGAGGGGAGGAGCAGGGGGAGGGATTGGCCTGCCTCCAGGCCCCTGGAGAGCCGTGCTGGGCAGGGGCCCTGGGGAGCAAGACCCCTCAGCTCCTGGCAGGTGGAACGGCGGGGGCAGGGGTGGGAGGGGCGTATTCGCTGGGTGAGTGACACGGGCGGTGCCACGAGGACTTGGCAGGGCTGAGCAGGCTCCCCAGGGCCTGGCGGCCCGCAAGCTGGGGGGTCCCCTCGCTGCGCCCAGGAAGTGTGGGCTTCAGCAGAGCCAGGGGAGCAGGGCAGATGGATCCCTTTGCTCTGTGCCAGCTGGCCCAGGGGCAGCTCCTGACCAAGGGATGAGGGAGACTCAGCCCTGGGCCTCCCACCAGTGTGGCCCTCACCCTGGAGAGGTACGGGGCCCGGCTGGCCAGGCCCCCAGGTAAGGGCTCAGGCCCTCCCATCTGCAGGGTGCCGGAGTGGCAGGGGCTGGCACATGGTGCTCCCGCTGGCACTCACCTCGGAGGGGCTCATCTCGCCAGGCAGCTCAGACTGGTCCTGCAAGAGAGGGAGGGAGGCGGAGTGTGAGCCAGGCTGTGGGGACGTGGAGCCGGTGTGTGCCATGGAGCCAGGGTGGGCATGAGAGTGCCCGAGTGGGCACTGACCAAGTGAGCTTGGGGCTCCCTCCAGCCTCCCGGCTCAGAGCACAGTGCTGATTGTGGGCAAGGAGCAACCCATCCCAGCAACACCCCCACTGCGCCCAGCTCCCCACTGTCCACCCTTTAGCCCAGCTCAGCTCCCTCACCCCGCCTTGTCTCAGGCCCCTCACAGTGCCCCGTTTGAGCCTGGATTTCCCCCCCCTTCCCATGCCCTCCATCCCAGCTCCCCTGACTCTGTCTCTGCAGGACTCTGCTGATCACAGAAGCCAGGCTGCCCCCCCGCCCAGCTCCCCCCTCGCCCCTCCAGGCACTCGCCCCAGACACCTGCTCTCCACACTCCCTCTCCCCCCCGCTGCTCCAGAGCTCACTCCTCTGCCGCACGGAGCGGTCCCCCAGCCTGCCCTGCCCGAGGCCCAGGGCTGTGGGGCGACAGCGTGGCTGGGAGATGGCTCAGGGGAAGGGGGGTGGAGGCAGGGCCAGTGCAACCATTTAGGCAAACTAGGCGGCCGCCTAGGGCGCCTAGTGGTTGGGGGCGCCTAAAAGCCCGCTCAGGCGAGGAGGTGGAGTGGAGGTGAGCTGGGGCGCGGGGGGCTCGGGGAGGGCCGCCCGCAGTAACGAGGGGGGGCGCACAGGGGAACCGCTCCCCGACCCAGATCACCTCCACTCTGCCTCCTCCGCTGAGCACACAGCCCCCACTCTAAGTCTCCTCCAATGGGCGCCGCAAGCCTGCAAGGGGAGGAGAATTAGAGCAGCGCCGGCGTGCTCAGCGGAGGAGGCGGAGCCGAGGTGAGCTGGGGGCAGGCTCCCGAGGCGGGGTTAGCTGCCACGGCGGGGGGGCTCCCCGGGCGCGGTTAGCTTCCGCGGGGAGTCTCCCCAGGTCGGGTTAGCTGCCGTGGAGGCGGGTTACCCGGGCGGGGTTAGCTTCCGTGGGGGGGAGCTGCTGCGGGAGGTGGGGGTGGCCGGCTCCCCAGGTGGGGGGCTGGGTTAGCTGCCGCGGGGGGGTGGGGTTAGCTGGGTGAGGGGGGGGCGCAAGGTGCACCAGCCCTGGGTGGAGGGGTTCAGGCCCTGGCCTGGGAGCTGCAGGTTCTAGTCCCTGCCCCGCCATAGACTCCCCTTTGGAGAGTCCCCCAAGCCCAGATGCCCAAGGTATTTAGACACTGAGCTCCCATCCATGGCAATGGCGGTTCAGAGCCCAAATACCTCGGGGGGTCTGGGCCTTTGTCGGTCTGGGCCTCAGGTCCCATCCAGCGCTCAGCTGCTCTTGGGTCAAGGGCAGAAGCAGGGGGATCTGCCTCTCTGGTTTGCCTGCCCGGGCGGGAGCCAGCCCCAGCGCTACTACCCCTCTCAGCCGGCCGCCCCCCCTCGCTCCCGGCCTCCCGTGAGCACACTCCAAGCTAAGCCCCCTCCCCCAAAAGCTGATCCTTCACTCCGAGGCGCCGTGCCCCTCACAAGGGGCTGCAGGTAGTTGGGGGCGCCTGGCTCTAGAATAGATCACAGGCCCCTTTGCCCCTCGCTGCTCACAGCCTGGTGTGCCCCCAGCCATGCTCCTCTGCCCCTCAGGGGCTCCCGGAGCCTCCTCTGCAGTCTGGCTCATCCCAGGCCAGAAAGGCACCGGCTCCGCTGCCCCGCCGCGAGGGGAGCACCCACAGGCGTGAATCAGGTGATCTCACTGGGGGCAGGGGAGGTAGATCAGCAGGGGAAGGCGCGATGATCAAGGATGCACTGATTTCCGATTGGCTGGTACAAGTGGATCGTTGCCGCATTGGTCGGTTGGAAGGAGCGTTAAAAGGCTCCCATTGGATCAGCTGGGAGAGGGGAATCAGATCAGATCAGGAGATATTGATTTCTGATTGGCTGGTAGGAGTGGATTGTTGCAGGATTGGTCGGTTGGAAGGAGTGTTATCAGGCTCCCACCAGATCAGCTGGGAGAGGGTGAAATGGGGGGACGGGGTCAGATCAGGGACCATACTGTGCTGAAAGTCCCCAGAGCTCAGGATGTATGTGAAAGGTGGGGGGATGGGCATAGGCATTCTGCTCCCTTGCCCTTCCTCTGCAAGTGGCAGACAGGCTGTATGCGGGCAGGGCAGGCAGCGGTTGGGGCCAGTCTTTGCAGCACAGGGATGCTTGAGCTTCTTGCCCCTTGGGCCACCCTGATCATCATCCGTGCGCTAGGAGACAGGACTCCTGGGTTCTATCTCTGGCTCAGCCGCTGACTGGTCCCGCCCCGCATTTGCGCCTCGGTTTCCCCACCTGTAAGCAGGGGCGGTGACCCCACAGCCGGCCCTGGTGATTAATTAACGAGTGCCGGGAAGAGCTCTGCAGGTGGAAATCCCGAGGGAGGCTGCAGATGGGTGGAGCTGTGGGGCGCCCTCAGCACAGTATGGGGGAGGGCGGCGCCTGGTCTGTGATTGGCCGAGGCGCGGCACACACTTACCGCGACGGAAATGCGGACGCGCTTCGACTTGCGCTTTTCGGGCGGTGCTGAATTCTCAGCCTTTTTAGCCACGAGAAAAACAGGAGAGAAGACAGAGGCATTATGGGAAACCACAGCATCCTGGCCGGGCTCCATCGCCCCAGGGCCTCGGGTGGGGGCTGGGCACAGAGCAGGGGCCAAGGTGCCATGGCAGTGGGGAACGCCCTCGGGGTGGGGGGGGGCAGAGGGGCACTCACCTCAGCGGGCTCCGTGGCGGTGCTGGCGCAGAAGAGGCTCTTGAGGGCAATGCCTGAGGGATCTGGGCTCCCGGCTGGGGGGGGGAGGGGGGGAGACACAAGCAGAGAAACCGTCAGTGCAAAGAGCAGCGAGCCGGGAGCCTGCCCGGCACTATGGGGCCAATAGGGGCGGGGGGCTCACCTGTGGGGCTCTCCACCAAGCTGCTGGGACTTCGCTTGAGCGCCGGCTTCAGGGGCTTGCGGGACTCTCCGTGTGGCAGGGCCGATGACGATTCCTCTGTGCTGATCTGGGGGCAGCACGTACAGGGGGCTTGAACCAGCACCTGAGCCTGGTAGGGTGGGGCGAGTCCAGGGCATCCTATCCCCAGCGCAGCAGGAGGGGGATGTGTGGGGGGGGGCAGAATGTCCCATCACCAGCCAGGTGGGATGGGGAAACATGGGCCTGGGGCGTCCATACCCCATCCAGCCCAGCCCAGTTCCAGGGGGAAGCAGCCCAGGCCGGAGGGAGGGTGGGTAGGCTGGGACCCAAGGTGCACCATCCAGGCCAGGAGGATGTGAGGCCAGGGGACCAGACCTGAGCAGATGGGGGTGAGGAATGGGGGGCACTCCCAGATAGAAGCCCCTCGGGGGCTTGGGAGCGCTGGGTGCTTTGGGGTTTCCAGCCAGCGGCTCCCTGCGTGGCAGTGGGGTGGGGGTGCAGCAGGCTCAGGGTATCGCCAGCCCAGCCCCGGCAGTGGGGCGGGGGGTCCTTGTGCTGCCCCCCGCCTCTCACCTGGAACCGCACACCCGTGTCGGAGGCCTTGTGGCCGGCCTCGTCCTGGGGCTTCTCGGCGACGCTGTTCCTCCCGGCCTGTGCCCTCTCCTGCATGTACTGCAGGCGGCGCTGATAGCCCAACTGGCCGCTCAGCAGCGCCACCACCTGGGCCCGCTCGATGGAGCCCAGCAGGATCATGGACTCTGCAGGAGACCAGCCCCGAGGGGCCGTCAGCTTGGGGGGGGTCACAGCTGTGAGTGGCGCTCCCCACCCCCTCCCCAGCCCCCAGGGTGGAGACCCAAACCTGAGCCCTCAGGAGAGCAGCCCTTGCAGGAGGACTCAGGCTGCCAACCCATTGGCAGGGCTCGGGGGTGGGGGGGACAGGATGGGACAGGTGTGCCCTGCAGGGGTTCTGGCTCCCAGGCCTGTCCGCCCATCTGCCCATGGAGCAGCAGCTGAAAATGAAAAACCCTGCCCCCACCCAGGCTGGAGGCACCGGGCTCCCCCGTCCCCGGGTTGGGTCTCTCTAAGAGCAGCTGCCATATGGGACAGAGCCTGCTTGGGAAGCAGGAGCTACAGCGTGAGGACACGGGGGGCCCAGGGCTCTGAGCTTGAGGCTGGGAGACAGCAGGACTCCTGGGTCCTATTCCTGGCTCTGCCCCAGGCTTGCTGGCTGATCTCGGGCCAGTTCCTTCCCATCTCTGGGCCTTCGTTTCCCCTATTGCAACCCAGGGATAACAGCCCCAGGGGAGGGGGCAAAGGCTCAGTGCCCAGAGAAGGAAAGGGACCATCAGGGTCTCCTACAGCTGGTCCTGCACTCCCCGCTGTGTGCCCAGGTATGCTCCCTGCCCACCAGGGTGCCCGCGGGACGCTGGGTCCAGGCCGACGAGTCTGTGACACTTGGACAGGGCGTGGGGCTGTGGGGACAAGCAAGAAGGCCCCCCGGTGCCCACAGGCAAGAACCGAGAGGTTCTGCTTCTGGAGCCACCCCACGAGTTGTGGGGTCTCAGCTAACAGAAGAGCCCCGATCCCCACCTTCTGCAGAAAGAAAGCCCATCCTCTCCCGCCCCACCACTCCTGTTTATTCGCCGTCTGGCTCTGAAGGGGGGTGAGGATGGATCCATCGAAAGAGGCTGCCCTGGCCTTCCTGTTTCCGCTAAACTTTACAGATTGCCATGGTAACGCAGCATCCTCCGTTGCCATGGCAGGCAGGCAGAGGAGATAAATGTCGGAGTGGGCAGTCGTCTGGCACAGGGACGGGCAGAAGCTCAGGACGATCTCAGTGCCCCGCCCCTCGCCAGGGAAACGGGCCCAGTGCCAGAGCACTGCTGACCTGGGAGTCCGCTGGGGAAGCCTGGGGGTGCAGGGTGGGGAATGGGCTCCCGACGGCCACTCTGCGGGCAGCCTGCTCCGCCCAGGAGGCCTTGGCACACATGGGTGGCATGGCCCAGAGTGAGCTGGGCACAGGCCAGGGCACGAGCAGCTCTGGACCCCCCCGCGGCGCCGCCTGCTCCCTGTGCAGCCCCCACGTCTCACCAGCTGACTCCACCAGCGCCAGGCTCTTCAGCTTGGTGCTGTACAGCACCTCCTGCAGGTCGCGGTACTTGCAGTTCAGGGTGACGTAACGCACGTCCCGCACCATGATGTCCTCCACCCGCACGTTGTACTTCCTGCGGAGAGCACGGCACGGCCCTGAGCAGGGCGCCGGAGGGCTGCTGCCGAGCGCCCGGCCCTGCTGCGCGGATCCCCCTCGGCCCCTTTGCTCCTGTCGAGGCTACGCTCCCCCAGCACCTTTGGGGGCAGGTGAGCGGCTCATCTAGCCGCCACCACTGCCGTGGGGGCCCTTTCTGGGTGGATCCCGCCTCCCATCCCTGGATGTGAACAGGCTGGGGCATGGTCCCTGCAGTCATCCAGGCCTGGGAACCACAGAGACGTCTAGGCACCGAGCTGAGCTCCTGGACTGGGTCCCTTGAGCTCCCGAGAGCTTTGGCCTTGAGAGGGGCTTCCTGCAGAGGCTCCGGCTCCCCCCGGGGAAGGGAGCCCAGGCGGGCACTTACTCCTGGTGTCCCCAGCCCAGCTCGGGCAGGTACGGCAGCTTCTTGATGCGGATGATGCTGTCGTAGAGCGAGGGCTGCAGGCTCTGGGCCACGGCGTTGGCCAGGATGACGGCGATCATCACGGGCAGGATGTGGGAGATCTGGCCCGTCAGCTCAAAGACGATCACGGCGGTGGAGACCGTGTGGGTCACAGCGCCGGAGAGCGCGGCCGCTCCTGTGCGTGGCAGAGAGCGCCACGGTGAGCCCCGGCAGGGCTGGTGTGGCCCCGAGCCAGACCCCATGGAGCTGCACGACAGTGACACCCCGCACTGAGCCCCAGCCCCTCTCCAACAGCCCCAGGGAGGGGGACCAGTATGGACACCCCATGGCACAGCCCCCCCAGCACACCCCCAGGGAGCCCTCAAGCTGCTCTGCCAACCCGTCTGCACCAGCCACCAGCCACTCTGGCTCCCTGGCCCTGTCACCCTGGGGACACCCCCCTCCAGGGAGGTGCCTAGACACGTCTCTGTGGTCGTACAGATTTGGGCTCCTCTGAACAGCCTGGCCCACTCCAGGGGCTGGCAGGAGGGAGATGCACTTGCACCACGAGTAGGTTGTTTGGGCCGTTGGACCGGCTGGAGCCCGTGGCGGCCTCTCCCCGGACGCGGAAACGTGGCGCTTACCTACCACGGCGTAGCCCCCAGGCACGATGCGGTAGGTGTTGCTGTCGGCGTGGATGCCATCCGGGAACCAGGCCGCCATGCTCTCCCCGACCAGCCGCCCAAAGGCCGCCCCTGCCCAAGGAGACAGGGGTCAGAGCGGGTCTGGGGGCAGCCCAGGCAGCTTTGGGGAGGGGAGAGTATCAGTTGTATCCTGGTGCCTCTGGCACGGTGCCCATCCCTGTGGCGATGCGGCTGCTCAGGGGGCAGTCGCTGCTCCCCCAGCCCTGAGCTGCACAGCAGGGCCCTGCCCAGGGCTGCCAGCTGCTGTGCCCTAGGGAGCCAGCTAAGCGGACGTCCCAGCCCCTTTGGAGCAGTGGGAGCCGGAGCAGCACCATGAGAGGCGGCCCAAGGTGGTGCTAGGATCTGTATCCCCTATGGCTGTTCCCTGCCCCTTGCTTCCCTCCCTGGGTGGATGGGGCTCTGGCGTGAGGATGGTGCTGGCTGCGTGCTCCCCCAGGGGCAGGGGAGGGCCTGTTCAGGGCAGAGGGAGGGGTGCTGTGCCACCCAGCGCCAGGCAACACTGAGCCACCACTCATACCAGGGCTGGGAGGTCCCGAAGCTCCTTCCCAAAGCCCTGAGCTGGCCTGGCGCTCCGGGAAAGGGCCTGCCCCGATGGGCACCC